AAAACATATAAATAGAGGGATTTTCCGATTTACATTTCAAACAACTGACGGCGTTTTGCGAATTTCGAAGCTGTATAGTAAAAATTTCATCATGTATTTTGTATTATTTTGCAGTTTAATTATTGCATTGTGTAGTTCTAAACAGGTAAGGTATTTAATTTATTACTTTCTGGCTATAAAACAATACACGGGCAATCGAATTAGACTCGATTTAAGATTTGAATAAGAGCGTTAAATGTTGATTTATATACATATTATGTAAAGCAAATATTTTGGTGAGATGTTTGTCTATACAAGGTATTTAAAAAGGCAGTACAGAATTGGTCGAACTTGGTTTAATATTTATCGGTGTTTTTATAGCTCGTTTTTGAGGTCGAGAACCAATTTAGTATTGAGAATCGATGACAATAAGATAGCTCAAAAATGTGCGTTCTTAGCTTCAAATATGTATAATTTCACAATTACTTTTAGTACAACTTTTAACTTAATTCTAAATCAGCATGATAAATGTTCGTTTCATGTTTTCCTTCATTATTATTATTGTTATACGCTCTTATTAAATCCTTTTTAGTTTGTTTTTACATTACTACCATTTCGTTGGAACACAACTAATGCACGTTGTCAAAATAAACATTCCCACAACGTTTGTTGTGAATACTTAGTTTTAATTTTGTATAATTTACAGTCTCACGAATGTTAAATTAAAACATCTCAAAAGTGTTCTAAAAGTGAGATACCAGATTATAAGAAATAGGTACTAAACAAAAGAAATTTCTCGATTAAAGTTGAGAACCGAACGTAAATTCTGTTTAAAAGTATTCATTATAAGAAATTTCTTATAATGAATGATATTAATTTCTTAAAATTATTATAGTCTGACCCTAAAAATTTTACAAAAATTAATATGATTCATAAAATGTTGTTTTAAAAATATTTTTATTTTTAATAGACGTACGTAGATTTGCCTCCACATGTGACCAGTCTCCTGGAAGAGAAGTCGGTAGGCTGCATATCGGAAACTGGAGCAGACTCTAACATAATGCAGCGTGTCTTCCGATGGCAGTTTGACAACAATGAAACGAGCAAAAAGTTTGCCTTTTGCTTATTCCAAAACTCCGGGCTGAGTGACGACGCTGGCCATTTTTATGTAGACAAAGTGTTGGATTTATACGAAAACAATGACCAAAAGGATGAGATTGAAAAAGTCACTTTGGAGTGCAATAAAATAGTAGATAAAAACGGCATCGAGACTATTCACAAAGTGTTGCAATGCTTGTTTACAAGATTACCAGTTTTGTTACAAGTTAAATCAGAGTAATTCAAATAGATATTCATCTAATGATAAAATGTTACACAATTTAAAAATTTGAGCAGAATCTATGTAAAATTTTGTTTTTGTTTTGTTATAATAATAGTTATCAAAATTCAATAATAAAAATATACATTTAAAATGGTATTATTATTATTTACAATTAAAATTCTTTTAAGCTTAAATCTGGGGATTTAAAAACAATAAACTATTATAATTATTGCTAAATTGATTATATAACCAAAGAAATAAATCCTAGAAATAATAAAATTTAAAAAAATATTTCTGAAGGTGAAAACATCTTCGATTTACCTATAATTAACTTCAATCAAATTACAACTCGACGAAATCGATAAGGGCGTTTCACGGTCGATGCTGCTGTTTCGTTTGGTTGGTAACAGAGGTGTGCTTATCTAGTTGATGACAGTAGTGTAGTACACACTAGATACACCGTATATCATATCAGCCTAAGATCAGAAAAAGATGAACTGAATTGTTGAAGTTAATATTAAATTGCAATTTCCATAGTTTGTTCAGGCAATAGAGTAAGTCTTTAAAACAGAGAATAAAAACATACAAATATTACTGTTATGCATTTGTTGCGAGCTTTACATTATTTAATAAAAAAATACCTTTTTATGTTGTTTATATAAAAGCTTTGTACATAGTATACATTTTGATGAAAGATTAATTTATCGAAAGCGCCATCTATTCTCTGTGATATTTACTTCCAAGCCACGTGTAAAATTCGTACTGTTTTACTTTAATCGTTAACCGTTTTTATTCTAGATGGCACTTAAATATATTACTAAGTCCAAAAAATTATAAAAGTTTACAAATATTGTTCTAATGGGTTCATACAAACTTTTTAAATTATTAGAGGTTTTTTTGTAAGAAGGTTGTTTTTTAACGAGCTGGTGGCTGACCTGATGTTAAGTTGTGCAACATCCGTAGGGTTCCAGATGCGTTGCCACCTTTTATTAAAGTGGACCCCGGCTACCTCTCATGGCTCACCAGACACAATGCAGAAGTATAATACTTCAACTTTACGCCGGTCTTCTGTGTGGTCTTGGTACCTGCCCATTCGTGCAACAGCGAAGACTGTTGTGTGGTGACACCGCAGCTATGTGCGACGATCTGATAATGTGCAAATTGTTTAAGTGCACTTTAGAATGTGGTCGACTGTTTGTTAGTACTTTTATGCTGTCATAATAATAACATCTATACACTGCGGTTCATTAGTATTTCAATAAATTTACTATGCAAGAAGTAGACTTTCTTGAAGATGTTCGCAGTCGATGTCCGGCAGTTCCTAAATGTTTAGGAGGAGTTCAGTGACATACACACGTACAGAAGAATTATAAATGTAAAGATAAATATTTTAGTACTAAACGTGTTACGGATGCTTAACAGTGGATTTTAATCGTTCATCAAAAACCGGAAACTTGTCGAAACACATTTGAATTCAAATCCGCGGCTTTGGATCACTAGGTCATGGGCAACTCGAGAACACTTATATTATTTGACATTTTAATGTCCTTAAAAGTAAAATTATCACGTAGACATGCATGTGCTTACGTTTTACATGTTACCAACGTGAACGTTGTCATTTTTGACCGTCCCTTTGACCGATCGTTCTTTTTTGCCTATGGTAGAGCGTCAGCAGTTTTTACATATTATGTAGTACCTGGAGGACTTTTTTTTGGTTAATCATGTATTTTGGAAATTATGTATAGACATAAATTACTGAGAATGAAATATGCATAATATTTTCGATCTTAACGACCTAATAATAAGAAAATATGAACTGGTGTTATTCACAAAAGAAAAAACTTAAAAAAAAAGGGAAAAAAGAACAAAACCGTCTGGATCGACAAAAACTATAAATAGAGAAAGCAATGATCTGGAATCGAAAAAAAAGTGTGTGAATGATCGTGACACGAACCGCGGTCGTCTGTTTTGGGGCCGCCCGATTACCGACCGAGCTATTATAACATTTTTTTTGCGGCGAAATTAACCGTCATGTTCGAATGATATTTTTCATTCCCTGAAAACAGAGATAAAAGGACATTTTCTAAAAATGAAACCAAGCTACATCGATTTTTCGCCCCCGAATCTACGCACATACTAAATTTCATGAAAATCGCTGGAGCTGTTTCCGGAGTGTGGAGATGTTACATATAGATATATATACAAGAATTGCTCATTTAATGGATAATATATATGTTTAATTGTGACGTTGTCTGAGGCTCGGCTATTATGAGTGTATATGAGCTACGGTCTATTTTGCCTCGGTAGTGCAGTTACTAAGTTATTGGTTTCGGCGCCAGGGGTGGTTGGTTGAATGTACATACAGCGTAAGTACTCGGTAAGGGCGGCGGTAACAGACCTCGCCCACACCGTTAACAAATTTACGATTGACGTGTTGTGCCATCCCTAGATTTCGGGATAGGGACAAGAAATAAAAAAGGATGGAAGACAGTTTTACCATATTAGGTGACCCGGTTGTTGCCGTCCCAAGTCAGGTAATGGAACAGAAAGAGAAAATATTATCTCCTAAGTCTCAATAAAAAGTAATCGCCGCTCCTATGACGTTATTATAAAGTTTCAAGGATAACTTGCACGTATATTGAAGTAAAAACCTATTCGTAGTTTACGTCCAGTAATAGCGAAAGTAATTTGTTATTACAAAGTGTACGTCAAATTTAGATAGCGAAGCATTAATTCAGCAAACTACGAATAATGCTGGCTTAGTGATAATAGATGATTTCTCGGTGGAGGCCAAAAGTACACAATATTTTGAATATTACATAATAACAAGCTATATTCTTTCGAATGTAGATATATCAGGAGATTTTCTCCTGTATCGAATTTGAGCTAGTTATATTCTATAAGATACACTTCGGATAGCAGGCACAGGATTGTCATAGTTTTAATTATACAAGTACAAAGTTTTTATTTTATTATATAATAAGTTTGTTTTAATTTCTTTCCATCAACGGTTACTAGAAACTCAACATGGCTTTTTTGTTCATATTCCCCGTATTTAACCTTATACGCTCGCTTCATCTTTTGTAAAGCAAGTATAGAAAATGATTGGAACAATTTGCATACGTTCTTAAACCAGAATTTAGGCCAGAATTAAGAGCTGGAGCTAGGAGCTCTTACTGAGCAGGTTCCTTTACTTCTAAAATCTATATTACCACATAATATCATATCAGAAAAGAGTCAAGGTCTAGTGTATTCGTGATAAAAAATTAAAAATAATAGCAATCATAACAAATGAATCATTTTCTAAGTATCGGTAATTGATTTTCAAAAGAAGGATTTGAGTGTCGTCAAATAGACAAAAACGCTATTAAAGTGTAGGAAAAGGTTATTTAAATTAAAAGATAAGCTATTTAGTTGCAAGATTCTGTGTATTGTTAAAGAGGAATCAAATAGGATTTTTATTATTTGCATTTATTTTGACGCAAATTGCTTTGTAACGAGGTAACTCTTTGAAGTTTTAAGAAATGAATAATACGTGAATGCAATTATAATCTTCAACTGATTAATTTTGGAGACAATTTATTTTATCATTTTATTATGCCAAAGAAGAAGCGAAAGGATATATAAATAGGTTGTCAGTCTTCATCCACACACAGTTCTAGCAGAGTATTCAACGTGTTAGTGCAAAACAAAAACAAAGATGTTCTTTAAAACATTTTCTTTGGTAATTTTATGTGCTGCCTCTATTGGGTTTACCGATGCGAAAAAGGTAAGATTTGGAAATCTTTTAAAATGAAATCAATGTTTTCATACAGTGAATTATTTATAATAAAATATAAATACTTCAGTATGTTACTGTCAATTTTTTTTGATGCGAAAAACTTTACGACGCTTATTATGACAATAGCCGATATTATTAAAGATTTCAAACGTTAATATAAAATGTGCTTATAATGAAAATATTAACAATAATGCACGGGAATATCTTTGAATCAATATTTTTGTACATTTTGTTAAAAGTAAGTAGATAGTTTAGGACGTTTCTTATGCACTCAATAAAATTTTTAAACATACGAGAAACTTTGCAACCACAAGGAAAAAATATTTTTTTTCAAGTTAATACAAACAATTATATGTAATTATACCGTTATATATAATTATATGATATAATAACAATAACACGCGATTACCGAAGACAATTATTATTGCAACGCATGTTCATGTTAGGAATCTCGTTTAAAATGTATTATTTTTTTCTTACAGCCAACCATCGCTGTGCCCGCTGACATAGTTGGCTTAATAACGGAAAAGTCCGTGGAGTGTATTGCCGAAACCGGTGCCGACGTGAATATCCTGCAGCGCGTCTTCAATTGGCAGTTTGACAATAATAAGACGAGCAAAAAGTTCTCATTCTGCCTGTTCAAGAAAGCTGGCTTCAGCGATGAGACTGGCCACTTCCACAAGGACAAGATCCTCGCCCTGTACGAGAAAAGTGGCAAGAAAGATCTGGTTGAAAGCGCTGCTCAGGAGTGCGACAAGATAAACGAGAAGAATCCACTGGAAACAATGTACAAAGTGATCCTTTGTTTCTTCGATAAATCGCCAGTCCTGCTTGAAGTAAAGTTAGATTAAATCATTTGAAAAGTTTAAGCAATACAAAATTCTGTTAAATTGTTGCTTGTTACTTGATGTGTAAAACGTAGTTTAGATCAATTATAGTGAGTTATTGGTTCTGTTAATAAAAAACGAGTAGTAAATATTTTATTTTTTAATTTATTTCTCGAATAGGTTTTGCATTGAAGAAAACGAAAAACACCTGGCACGTCACTGGGATCAAACCCTAAATCTTAATATCGATGTTTACACGATAAAGCCTGTATATTTAAAAAAAGTCACTGATTAGGTGACATTACTATGTGAATTGCTTGCTTCCTCTGATATGGTTAGGATGTTATAGTGAAAATTAAGAAAGCTGTGTAATGTTTTTCGTTTATTTTGAAAAAAGTTTTAGGGATCGGATTAGTTTGCATATTTACTCTGCATATTTTTATATAGCTTGGTTTGGGTTTAGAAATGAATTTGCTTCATTGATTTTAATCTATCGTGACAGTTTTCACGTATTTGTGCGAAAATAATATATATAATTTACTCATAAACGGCTTGGAATCAATGGTTAAGCACAAAATAAAATTCACTCAGCATCTGAAGTAATTAGGACTGAGTATGTCTGTGTACAAAAAGAAGCAGGTGTAGGGTCAAACTTTAGAATCTTTAACAACATATCTGTCATTGAAAATAAATAGCATAATAAATAAAATAAATTTAAATAAAAGCGGATGTTATTATATATTGTTGTACCTGTTGTTTTAAGTCATCTCGTGACGATGCAATGGTTGATCCTCTCATTGGATACTCATGTAAATTACGAATGAGATGAGACCTATTCGAATTTTTTAAATGATAAGTATATATTATTGTCTACTGAAAATTAATTTGGTCACGTTGGTATGCATTTGTGATATCAAATATATACATTTCATCTATCGATAGTAATTTGTTTAAATCATTCTTCATTAATAGTAATTGTTTTGTAACAAGGTTCTTCTAACGGACCAGAAACAGGAGAAAGGTATTCGGTATCCTGCTTTTTCCTTCAAAATACTACGTTATACGATATATATATTTTTTTTAGAAACAGCTTGGGAGCTATCATCTTATTCCCAGGGGTTATTTTAATAAGTTCCCTTCTTAAAAAGTTTTCCTTAATAAATTTCTTAAACTTGTTAATATACAGGCTTTGCGCATTAACTGGGATTTTGTTGTAGAAGCGCATTGATGACTTTCTTGACTGCAGCGGCTCCTGCAGTATTACGTATGGGCAGGCTCAACTCGGGACATACCACGGCTGCTCAGAAGACCGGTGTAGTAGAAATGCTGAACTTTTTCGTTTTCTCTGGTCTCTATCTACACTTTTAAATATTGGAAACGGGGTGTAACCCCTCAGATGTTGTGCATGTCCATTGGCTGCATTAATCACCTTACATTATATGAATCACGTGTACCCCTGCCATATCGTAAAACTTATAAATCAAATGAAAAACTATGCAATAGTGGTAGTGTCATGCTATGTGGTTATAGCATAGAGATGATTTGAAACATAATTCCTTAGCTCGTTAAGTCTTCGGTTTTTTAATAAATAATTTATCATTAAATTTTATGTATTAGAGAAAATCATCGTATTTTATAACTTTACTTACCAGATTTAAAAATAGACGTTGCAAGGTTAACCGTTATTGCCTTATGCATGTATTAGTGATATTTTTAATTGCTTAGAAAATAATAAAGGTAATTAAACGTTTATTGGAAAGCAAAGTGTCCAAGATACATAAAATACTTCTGTCATACGTCCTCAAATCTATGAACAAAGTGAATTGTAGTCTAATTCGTAAAGAAATATTAATATTATGTTATTAAATTGTTAATTTTAAGTGATAACTTATCACGTGTTAAGCAATGAAGAAAAACATCGCGGAAGGAAACCTGCATATTTTCAAAAACAAAAATGTTGCGAAGATGTTATGTGAAGTCATCGCGTGTTGGACTATGCTTTCTCTACAGATGAGGCCTTTATCCAGCAGTGGGAAATTTATTAGTCTGTTTTATTTATGGTTTGTTTTGTTACTTTAATATGTTATTAAGATTATGCATCAAATAATGCATGAGGCAGGTACTCTACCCTCTACACCATTCGGGTACACATAAATATTTCCTAAACTTACAATTTTATTGGTATATTTTATTCTAATAAGTGGATAAAAAAGTATATAATATATTTTTCAGAATTATTATTCAATATTATAATATTTTGTCGTAATTCTTTTACCTTTGCTATACGCATATTCACTTTAAATGAAGGTTTTTCAAATGATAGCAAACTATGTTGTTATACCAATGGTACGATGGTATACAATGGCCCCTTTAGGTGAACTAAGTTATCAACCCATCCAGTTTCAAGCTCAAGCGCAGAGGTTTTCAGTTTCACGGTAGTATTCATAGTTTATAGATTTTGGATTTACAGCAGAGACTATGCAGGAATTTGATCATTCCCTTCATACGTCCGGCCGTCTGCCAGCAATGGACTCTCGACTTTGGTCTCCCTTCCCGTGTTTACGAAATTTCTCGAATTTATACGAAAAGGTCCGCCATATCGTTCATATTGCATATTCTGTATGTATTGCAAAAGTGTGGAACAATCTCATTACACCCATCTTTCTGCTCTATTATTACTAAGTGGACTCCAATAACTCAATCTTAGCTGATGCGACCACTTACACAATTCCTTACTATCAGTGAAATAGTAGATCCAGACTTTTCTACAAAATACTTGAAGCACGTGGTATTTGTTAATCTGCCTTTAACCGGCACTCGCTGTTGTATCCATTTGCAATATATTACCTTACCGACTAGAGGAAACGGTTTGTACCTACAACTTAACTAACTTTAATTTACGTCTGTTTTCTGTGAGGTCGTGATACTTTCCAGGACGAGCAGCAGAGGCTACCGTTGTGACTACATAAAATTAATAACGAGGCCTGTAAAGATGCTCAAAAAAGCCAGTGGGTGAAAACGTTAACCTCTATACAATTTAACTTCATCCCCATTTTCGCTGGCTCACAGACCGATGAAGATTACGAGTAAGTCATAAGTAGCGCCATCTCACAATCTACAGATAAATCCAATGCACATCAAAAACATGATACTTGAAACAGGTTACAATACTTGACAAGGACACGTGCAAATGTTAAACATCTATACGCTAATAGATCCTGTGTTCAATATCTGGGACATCTTCAATTAAATACAGTTTATTTAAAAAAAATTAAAACATTGTTTAGTAAAAAAAAACAAAAGGATTTGCGGCAGGAATTCATACCGCGTCAAAAATATTTTTATTACTAAATTACGTACAATTTTCACAATTGCATATGTATAATGTTATCATAAAAACCTTATGTCACGTCATATCTTGAGCTCTTTTTGAGGCAACAGACTGACCCTTCGTCACTTTTATGACATGCTTGGATAAGAGTGGATAGTGCACTAGTGAGCACAAGTGTCAAACCAAGAATTAAAGCAAGCTGTAAAGGGGAATAGATTGTATAAACCAGAAGTTTATACAATCTATGTTTTTGTACACTTGATTAAGCATGTTAACTTTATCATTGATTATGCCCGTTGAAATAACATGAAATTTATCATAAATTTATAAATCTTATAAAAAATAATTACGACAAGCACTGACCACTCACAAATAAACTTGAAAATCGCATGAAATATTGATCATGTATTAAAATGGTATTTAATCATCTGATGCTAATTATAATTTGTAAAATATGTACTTGAAAACTTACATATATATTCGAATGCTTTTCGGGTTGATTCACAGTGCTCACCGCTTTCAGCTCAGTTACAACTATTACCGAAAAATAAGTAAAAAATATCAAATATGTTGTCTTTGTTTTTATTGTGCACTCTTTCGGTGGCGTACACTAGTGCGAAGGTAAGATATTATATCTTTAAGGGTTTTTAATATTTTCTCTGAAGCATAATTATTATTTTCAAATAAAATATGATAAGAGAATGTCTTACAGCACATATGATTAGGTTAGTTTAATTTTATTGTACAAAAATAAAGGTGAGATGAGATTGTATCATAACTCTCTACAAAATCTCATTCAAGGAAGGACCTGCAAAATTAGTCTGTTCATACATTGATTGCACGTGAGTTCAGCGGTTTAATTATTTAGTCAATCCTTCTCTCCCTTTAAATATAGAGAAATTACTCGTCCGTAGTTAAAGCCTATACGAAATGGATGCCTCAGTTGTTTAAAAATTCAGTGAAATCTAGTATTTATCACACGGAACTCTTAAAAACAAGCTTATAACTAACTGTTTAGTCATAAAACTTACGTACTTTGAGTCATTATATTGTTTATCATTTGTTTTGCTAGATGGTGAAAACGTTGCTAGGTGTTATAATTTTTAACAAAAAAAATCGACTTCAAATAGGAAACTAAAAACATTGTTAATACCTATAACATTTGAGTATAGCCCTCAATTTCTCTGGGATGCCATCATCAGAGCCGGGTTTCCTTATCATGGTACCACCCTTGGGATATCTCCTTTCCAACAAATAAGAATCATCAAAATTGGTTTATAAACGACGAAGTTATCCGGGAACACGCATAAATATATATATATATATATATATATATATATATATATATATATACGGTCGAATTGAGAAACCTTCTTTTTTGAAATCGGTTAAAAAGGGAAATATGTTCACAGGCAACCATCGCTGTGCCTGCTGACATCGTCGGCTTAATAACGGAAAAGTCCGTGGAGTGTATTGCCGAAACCGGTGCCGACGTGAATATCCTGCAACGCGTCTTCAATTGGCAGTTTGACAATAATAAGACAAGCAAAAAGTTCTCATTCTGCCTGTTCAAGAAAGCTGGCTTCAGCGATGAAACTGGCCACTTCCACAAGGACAAGATCCTAGCGCTGTACGAAAAAAGTGGTAAGAAAGATCTAGTTGCAAATGCTGCTAGTGAGTGTGACAAGATAAACGAGAAGAATCCATTGGAAACAATGTACAAAGTGATTCTTTGTTTCTTCGACAAATCGCCTGTTCTTCTTGAAGTAAAGTTAGATTAAAGACAAACTGATAGGAGCACTTAATTTAATTTTCAGTTATTTAATTATTAAAATGTAGTTTGTATTGTGTGTAGATACGAGTACTTGTCTTAATTTGTACCAATAGTCTTTATTAAAATTCTTGTTTTGTTGATATTTCGTTTTTCATCACTTTATTGTACCTGATTACGTGTTTACCTGTTTATTATTACCCTACCGAATACCTCATAATTAACACTTGAAAATGGTTTCTTTATTGAAAAAACAATTATTTTTACTTATATTTTTAGGAATCCCATTGATAACTGACTTTGAGGCTCTTTTATTTTGATCAAAAAATTGATCAGGGCGTTCAATTTAATTATAAATAATTGGCCAAATCATTACTATCCCACATTTTCATTAAAAGACTGTTAACTATAATGGCGTATACAGCCTGGCTGTTCTACGCGTGTTGCTTATGTCTTATAAATGGCAAATTTTACACATGTAAACTAAATAGTTTTTCTTTCTTTTCTCTTAATATTTATTCTACTTATTATTTATTTATTTTATTTAATCTATACTGGACTAAAATTTCTGCAAAGGCGAGCTTAATACTGCATTCTCTATCAGCTAGTCCTAGGTAAAAAAAGAAGAATGACAAGGGCAGTAAAGTAATAGTAATAGATGAATATAGGGTAATTAATTTCCACATTACATATAGGGTAATAATATGCATTAAGGGGTAATAAATTGAAGTAAAACATACAAACATATACATATGCATACACATGTTTATATATAAATTCATAAATATACATTTACAATAAATATACATTTTTTATTAAAGTAAAACATCAACTCAAAATTGAATTGAACCTACAATTATTTTCAATATTAAGTAGCATCTTACATAATTTCATAAATTCCATGCAAAATAAAAATTTTATTAGGTTAAAACTTTGAAAATTACCTTTCCAAAATTTTCCAAGAAATCAAATTTGTAGCTTAAAATTCAATTTTTCAATAATAAACACACTCCAAGAATCTTTGACGAGTTTTCTTGGTATGTAAAATAAATTAAACAACCCAACAAAATTTTTAGACAATGCTTATTCATATTCTGCTTAAATATTGAACCCAAGAATTAGGCATTTCTATTTTTAATTAATTAAAAAAATAGTAATTGGTGATTTAATTAAATTGAAGAAACCACAGACAAAATTAGTAGTCGACCAAATTACAATTTCCTTATATGTTAAACATTCGAATCCATTTTATCACGTTTTAAATAATAAATAAAACCGTACATAACTTTTAGTAAAAATAAAAATGATACTAGTTTTACAGTTTATATGGCTCCTTGCATATCTTAATTAGAGATTAAAATTAAAAAATGATTTTAGCGTTTCGAATGGTCATTACTTATCATAAAGGTAACGTTTATACAATCAATACTACTAACACATATTTTTTTCAATGAGTATTACGGATTTTTTTGTATTAATTGATACGTTAGGTTAATGTGTATACATTATATAACATACGTTATATAACGTTAACATCGAGTTTCTATTACTTCTGAATCTGATAATGTAAAACTAGATGAACTAGAACAAAGACTACTTAAACTATAATTATCTGTTACATCACAGCCTTTCTCAAGTTCATTATCATTAATGTATTGACTGTAATCCACAGTCATGTCCTCATATTCGTTCAAATTACTGTTTAAATTCTTGACTGTATTCATTGTTTCGTAAAGCGAAAATTTTCGCCCGTTATTAGCAGATAATTGCACAGGGTTGGCATGCGAATCTATTTCGTACGAAACATCGCTTAAATCATCACGAATGCTGTAATATCGTTTCCTATTTGCTAATGAGTTGTAATAATCCGCACTCTGATCCTTCTTTATTAAATTAAAGTTCTCGTCAAGGGGCACAAAGTACGTCTTGATATATCCCGGACCTTTTACAAAGGTTTCTCCACGATATGAAGTCAGCACGCCACATCCATCTAATAATATCGCAGTATTTTCTGTTACCTATATGAAAATAAAAATAAAAAATGCGTGAGAGAGAAAACTCTCGCCTCCATGGGGAGTTTTAAACAAAGAATTTTGTGTTAGAAACGTACTTGGATTCGTCCAGCTTCCCCGGTTGAGTCCATTCTAGAGGCCATATTTACAGCATTGCCCCAAATGTCATACAGCGGCTTAAGGGAACCAACGACTCCTGCCGCGACTTCACCGTTAGAAATACCTGAAGCGTACTTTAAATTAGTATATTAATGAATAATAAAAATCTTAAAATAAGGAGCAATAAATATTTACCAATACGTAAATTTAGGCCTTCAAAACTCTGAAAAGATCCTCGATTAAAATTTTTTAATTGCTTCATCATAGCCGCTGCAAATTCCACCATTGTTAGTACTAGCGCACGATTATATGGACTATTTTGCTTTCTGTCAACGATTGAGTTGAAAGACGAGGAGTCCATGGACTCGCGTCGATTCGGGTCTAGTCCACAAGCGGCCATGTATGTCCAATCAGCCATTTTAATTTTTTCAACTTTATAAACAGACGTTCCAGTTAGCAAAAGCTGTAAAAGTAAAGTTACATTTTATAAGTGTGGAATACATTAAGGACTCACATTGAATTACATGATTACAGAACTTACTCTATCAAAATCTGATATAACTTCATCCAAAATTCTCAATACAAACTTATCACTCAAATCACCATCTTCTTCGACTCCGAGTTTATAATCAGTCAGTGATGCAAACATAACAGCCACGTTGTCGTACTTTTCGTAATACAATTCATCTAATGATCTATTAAGGTCTAAATATACTTGAACTGAAAAATAATGAAGCTTAATACATAATACAATATTATATCAGCACGTAATATTTTATAAAATTAAAACATACCAACGTGTGCTGGCAATATATTTTCTAACAGCATGTTATTAACTTTCAACATTGTTTCGGCTTCTGTCTGTTCATCGCTTAGTTGTATCTGCCACAAATGGTCCAAACGATTTCTATACTCTGTGGTACGGTCTATCCAATATAAGGTTATGGTGATAAACACAACGGATAGTGTATGCGATATTCTCGAATCCAATCCAACGTTCCAAGTTAAATCGTTTGTGAAGAGAGAAGATTTCAACTCCCATACAACCCACAAATAAAACATTGTCATAGCGCCTGCCACTATCCATTTGAATATGAAAAATACTCGACTGAATAGAAAGTTAAGTAGCAAAGCTAAACTCCAACACTGAGTCACGTGCTGAAATTAACGATTATTGAGAATGTGTTCGAAAGAATCAGCCAAAAAATTACCCAAATTAACTATTGGACACACAAATAAAACAAATTTATTACCCAAGAAGAAACACAGTTCGAAAGGACAGTTTCCGTTGAAGGTTGAACATCGGCCTCGACGCATGCGATTACATTGACGACAGACGTTGCCGCGAGTCCTATGCTTATTAGTAAGTAAATAAGCGTTCTTATTTTAGCGGATTTTATTATTTTCACTGATGTATCAAATAAACAACGGAGCAGCGGATTTTTGGGCTCGTCAATACCTTTATATTTTGTCCACAGAAATTGGAACCATGTGAATGGTTGCAAAATTATCAAACTGATTACTAACACGCCAAAAATAGCCCATGTAAACCAACGAAATCCGTAAAGCCTAAAATGGAAAATGTAATAATGAAACTTACAACAAACGTAACTCACTATGACTTTATTGATGTCCCATCTGATCAAGAACCTCAAAATTGTTTAGTTAAGGAATTGTTCTCATTATTACTTCAGACTTGTTATATTTTCATTTAAATTAAGAATGCACATTGTATAATGTACATGTAAATTTATTATAATAAATAGGGTTTATGTTACTAAAAATTTTAAGTTTAAATCAATTTGGAACTTTTTAACTTATGTGTTACTTATTAAATAAAATAAATAAGACATCAAATATATATAAATACTTTATTTACTTCCGTTTTTGTAGGGTCACGGAATAGTCTTGTCTTTTGACGCATGGGCAGGTCTGTTCGGGGAAGTACCACGACCTCAAAGGAGACCACCATGAAGTAAAAGAGTAATACTTCTGCATTTCGTCCCGTGTAACAGGGATCCACTTTATTAAAAGGTGACAACACGACCGGTGTTGCAAATGCCCATGGGCGGCGGTTATCACTTAACATCAGGTGACCACCAGCTTGCTTGCCATCCTCTTAAATAAATAAAAAATACTTGTATTAAATACGTACCAATTTGTTGTCAGACCGTTTATTAAGAAGATTAAAATTAAGATAATAAGACAGCAAGATATGTAATATTTAAACAATGGATCGGGCAAGAGAAGAAAAGATTTTTCTAAACCAAAGTTTTTGTACATCAAAGTAATCCTGTTGAAACTTGACTCCTTCTTGAAATAATCTCTGAAAATGAAAATAATTATTTTGAAAATAAAATATTAACGAATAGGACATATCTATCATACATAATCATTCTGAATTTCGGTTCTGAATGGTTATGGTTTCCGGATAAAAGCAATAAAATAAAAACAAATTACTTTTATCGTTAGCTATATAAATTGCTTTTTGGTGCTGTAGTCCGTTATTGTATTCGTAATTAAATAAATTGCTAAAGCCAAAAGCTAAAGCGCTTATTAAAAAAGTTTAAAACTTACTTTCCATTCGTCATGTCCTCTATTTCTTTAGCCATTTGTGCATCTGCCGCTTTCAGCATTTGCTGATACTCGACTAAATTCTCGTCCATGAAGGTAGTCCGGCGAAAGTTTGAAGAATTCCTATTTTCCGATCGCTACTAGAAATACAGAGAATCCAGCTTGTTATTTAACAGTGAACCGTTAAATATTTAATGCAACATTTTTATAAAGCATCAGTACAATTATTACTTACTCTAGACCGTGATCGCGAATTAATTATCTTATTGAATCCCACCGAGGCTCTTCTAAACGGTTTATACTCCGAAATTGGCTAAAAATCAAATTTCCGTTAATTCAATTTTATTATTCAATATGTACAGAATGTATTATATTAAATTGGCATTTGCATGGGAAATTTTCATTTTACTTTAATCTTTGATAGTCACGATAACTGTAATAATAATGACTATTCAGTCCCGAAGATAATAAATAATGCAGTAGCAGATATAATCAAGAAATTTATCAATTCCACATGTAACTCGCATACAAGGTGTACGAGTATTTTATTATTTAAGCATTTTGGCGTCTTTTTTTAAATGTTATTTTCAATCAAAGATGTTTGAAGTTTGGGCTGCGATAGTGCTTAGGGAAATATTTTGATATAAAAGGGAAAAAAATAGCTCAGTCACTAATAGGCTCAATAACAATATTATTAAAGTTTATATTTTATATATTGGTAATAACTTAAGCAGCACAATTATTATTACATATTTGAAAACCCATATGGCAGTCATCGTGGACATGTTAAGTGAATACAGCCGCCCATGGACATTTGCCAAACCCGAAGGTTACAGATGCGTTGACAACCTTTTGAAAATTGGGCTCCGGCTACCTCACTCACCAGACGAACGCGAAAGTATTTGTCATACTTCCACTTTACGCTGGTCTTCTGTGAGGTCGTGGTACTTACCCGGACGAGCCTGCCCATTCGTGCAACAGCCGAGGCCGCGTGGCAGAAATCCGTGAAATAGTTTTATTTTAGTTCGTCCATCATACATATTCTTATTAAAACGTCTTATTTTTAAAATTCAGATGACTCCAAGCATTATTAAGAAATGCAAAACAAAGTATATAATGTCGAGGATGTCGACCGGAAGATTTAGATTTTTTATTATTTAGATTTTCGAGATTTGATTTTATCTGCATATTAGAATTCAGCAGCGGCGAAATAATTTGCGGCAAATTTTAATCTACACATTTTAAGTTTCATCTTAAGTGCGGAAACTACCAAGTACTAAAAATTAAAACTTGAAAAAGTGAAATACACAAAATTTTTATTTTAATGTTAATAATAATATGCTTTATTGTATGCCAAAAAAATAAATAAAAGGTACAAAATAAACAAAATTTTTATCAAATATTAGTCATCAAAAACCTTATTGCTACACAGCAATTTCTTCCAGTCAAGGTTTTAATTTAACTGCAAATTGAAAATAGTCAATGTGCAACATGCACTTAAAATATTTTTTTTTGCCGCTGAGAGGATCAAACCTGCATCCTCCAAGTTACGCGCCCGAAAGCCACTAACGATAATCTCTACGTATTTATGCACTGTGATTTTATTGATATTTATTAATTTTAATCAATGCTTGGCGCCATCTAGTGTGTTTCCTTTACGGCAAACAAGAACTTTTTATTAGGACATTTTTACAATATAACATTTAAAAATTAAAGATGTCACCATTAATCATTTAAAAAATAGAAAAACATTTAAATTGTAATGAAAAATAAATTAATTACAATTTAAATGTTTTAAATATAAGGTTTAAATTTCTAAATTTAAAGTTTCGCACGTAATAACAAGAGGAGCTGAATATTTGATGTCGAATTTGGTTTCAGTTGGTAGTCGTGTTGCGGTCCACAGTTTCAATCGATAACGAGACTGAAGCTCTGTGTTTTGTTATAAATTCATGCTTGACAGAAGTCAACATAGAAAAATATAGATATTATTTGATTTTTATGATTACTTTTATTTACTATATTATCATCTTGCCCTTTCCACCGAAGTCGGGTCGACATATGAATTATGTTCTTAGTGGTGTTAGCTAGTTTTTTATGACCACCCTTATGAAAACTCTAATCAAACACTCAGTTTTGGAACTTTATCTATGGGTCATAAGTATTCTAGTCTCTACCCGTGCTAATCCAATCCATGAGTCCCGGCGCCGAAGCCAATATTTTAGCAATTCCTCAATGGCCTTATCAATTGCTATTATATACAGGGTATACGGTTCCTAATAGTAACAGGTTAGGATACTAATAGTAATATATATTTTAAATCACAATAGCTATGGATTCACTTTATAGGTGGTCAAATATAATTCAGTATAGAGTCACTAGGCTTATTTTAACATGTCGTATTTTAATAATCATTTTTAATTTTTTCAACCATTATAAATAAAAATATTTTATGGAAATGAAACGCGTTTAATTTTTAAATACGGGTGTTTCAAATACTACTTGTGCATGTTTTAAATTGACATTGGATGTTACTTACTCTTTGTGGTCTAGAAAGTAAATAAGTCTCAAGCTTATTTTTCATCACGAAGGGATGATTTTGAGATTCAAAATTTGGTTCAATTATATAATCACGTGCGTAATCCAATATCAGTTCAAGTGTTTGTTTCGTTATATGCACCTTTCTAAAATATAAAATATACATATAAAACATAAGACGACATGTGTTATTTGACAATTTCATAAGTATATTAAACGAACAATACGGAAAATGCAAAGTTTTAGTAAATAGGTACTATATTAACACAGAATTTAAAACTTAATGTTAAAAGTAACATCTTCGAAATTGTTTTTTGCTATTATTTCTAAACTATGATTCCACACGATTTTTTCCTTTACCGCGGAGCACGTGATACGTCAGAACTTAAAATTAACAATTTCATTGGTGCCAGCTCTGGAGATAGAGCTATGGTTGCTCGAGTATATTGAATTAAAGGCGAGCGCTCGTACACTGGGCTATCACGGTTCAAAATAAAATACTAAATAACATTTTAATTTTAGAAAATTTTAATTAAAGATTTTATTTAAAAACCGAACAAATATCTTTTTTTTTTCAATTAGAAACTTACCCGGCTTTTCCAGTTGATTCCATTTTACTCGCAATCGTCACATCTTTAGACCATATATCATACTGCCACTTTCGGATGCCTATTAAGCCGCTCAAGATTTTCCCAGAATGTACACCTATCCTCATGTCAATATTTAAAGCACGCTTTTCTCTAAATTAAACAAAAAAAATCATTTTGAGAAAAGACATTCCCATTGAGGTAGTTGCAAACGAGACTTGCAAGTCCAAGTTATGTTACCTCACGTCTTTGATTATGTTAATCATCTCAAGACCCAGGTCAACACAGTTCTTCGCGTGCAATATACTGGGCTTCGGTACACCACTAACGCAATAATAGCAATCGCCCAAAAACTTGATTCGTAGTACATCATATTCCTGAAACATGAAATAAACAAGGTTGATTTACTGAATAGAGTTTTATTGATATTCCTTTGTGATAAAGCTTACTTCAGACGCTTCATCGAAACGGCCAAATAACTCATTTAGCAGTTCTACCATCCGCATTGGTGACAATGTTGTTGAAATCTTCGTATAGTTCACGACGTCAGCGTATAAAATGCTTACATTGTCGTGCTCCTCAACATATAGTTGACTGTAGAAAATTGGTTAAAACTAAATTATAAAAAAGTAAAAATTAAGTTTAATAGTTAAAAGCATTAATGAAACCAGTCTTTAAGAGAGAGTATGTACGAACTTGCATATTTATTTTATTTGTACCACAAATAAAACCTCCGGTGCAAGAATACGCATGTCCGCCCGGGTAAGTACCACGACCTCACAGAAGACCGGCGTGAATTGGGAGTGTTAGAAGTATAGCATGCGTTTCGTCTGTTGATTAAGGTAGTCGGGTCACTTAACATCAGGTGAACCGCAAGTCTGCCCTAAAATTAAAATGTTTCATAAAACCTATTTCATGTAAATATAATGCCACATACTTTAATAAAACAATACATGTTAACATTAGTATTTTTTATGTATGAAGGTTGCAAGCGAACTGGCGGTTCACCTGATGTTAAGTAATAACTGCCACTCACACATTTGCAACTCCTGTAGGGTTCCAAATGCGTTGCGTCCTATCATAAAGTGTGCCCCAGCTACCACAATTACAAGACGAAACGCATGTTATAACTTTTAAAATGGGCTCCGATTACTGCCATTCGTGCAACAGCGAAGACTGCTGCGAAGCCCTACCACAGTTAACGTTCTAACAGTAGCAAATGATCATAAGATTTAGGGAAACGTCGCAACGGATATAACAAGGAGTCAATCAAGAACCTTAGAAGCTACTGAAGGAACAGATGAACATACATACACACATATTTACATACATACATATATACATACATTTATACTAGTCAAACATAACTCTACAACGTAATTGAGTAATTACATGAAATGTGTATAAGTTAAATTCAGGTATTTTAAGGAAAAAAAGTGAGATACATATTTTAACTTTTAATTCGACGGGCATATGAAATAGTTCAGAACGAAATAATGTATAAAAGAGGAAAACATAAATACTAATATGTAAATCATACTTAAAAGATTTTATATTGTGAGTATGGCTCTGTGATTGTATATCCAAAAACATTTCTCTTATATCTTGTCGAACTTGAGAGACGATATGCTCAGGAAGGATACTTAACATGAGACGTTCCTGCAAAATGAATGCCTTAAGAAATTTGCAACGCACTATATATATAATTAGAAAACAATTAACAATGCAAGATCGTTAATTTAACTAGATAACATACTGAATACAACAACACACTGAAATAAAAAGAAATTGAATTAAAAAGGATTCTTGTCCTAAATAGCTGCAGAAATGTTTCTTTAAAAATAAACTGATCGTTTTATATCAAAATAGTCTCTAATCAATTGAAATATCCTAACGCAATGTTTAAATTACATGCTTGTAACATATGTTTATAAATCGATTGTATCAGCAAAGTCTTATCGACTGTCATTATCTACATCTTTAGCCCCGAAAAACTTATCAAATTCTACATCTAAAGGCTCAACATCTGAAATTATATGACGTATTAGCTATTAGGCGGCGGAAATATTCATAATTCAAATTATATTTAAATCAGATGAATAGAGAACTAACCGATCAATAGTAAATTAGCACTCTCTCACTTTATCAAAACATGAAAAATTAAGAGTTCTTATTTATTAGTTCTGAAACAATGTCACCAGATGACATTCTTTATATGACAAAATGTTTATGGTAACGATTATAAAGATACATTGAAAAATTCTCTTACCTCTTGGTCCTTAACAAATTTCAATCGTAAAGTACTTTCAACGCAAGCTCGTCTATCCAAAAATGACCTTCTCGTTACTATTTCATTCATCAGTCTAAAATATATGCCCATCAAATTTACTCCAATCAGGTAAATTATATCTGAAGTCACCTAAAATTAAAAATTTCTAAAATTTCTTATACAGCGTAGATATCTTTATGAACGCCAACATGAATTAGGTTATTCATTTAATAATTTGAACTATTTTATTTTGTTTGAGATATATTTTGATTCTTGTGACTCCAAGAAAACTTTAATTAAATTTTAAATGTTGGATTCGATAGAGGATTGCTAACCGATTAAGGCGATAATTATTTATATCCGATTAATTATTTATAATTACTGTCACTCTTATTTATAACCGATTAATTATTTTATAATTACTGTCACATTATAAATGTACAATGTAGTCTCCGTAAACAATGCAATGTGCGTTGAATGTGAGTCTTGAAGTTTGAATTATTTAGATTAGGGTTCGGAGTATTTATCTTTCACACGTTTTCATTTCGTTTGATTTTTCCAGGATTATAATTAGTTATAAATAAACATATGATCTAACTTAAGTTTTGTGGAAGAGGTATTTAATCAAAATTATAATTATAAATTAATGTATAAAAAAAAACCATGTAACGAAACTAACCTAAAACACATAACGTCAACTCTTTAGTGTCCAAACTTAAAAAGATGCGTGTTAGCAATATAAGTTTGTTCACTTTTCTCTGCATTTTTTTCAGATTTTTCTTGATATGGATTTTTCATTCGTCATATTTATATAAAGTGAAAAGAGAGATAAAATCTTTCAAGGTTCATAATACCAAATATTTGTTGCATTTCCAAAATCGAATAAAAACTAAGTTGGTATTACAATTTTTAAAATAAAATGGCTAAGGTAACGAAGCTAGTGATTTAGAAGTTGACGTTTGCTCAAAAATACATAAAAAGAATCGAAAAGGTTGTTGTTGTCACAGGGATATCAAATAACATGGTATCGTTCATTTCAGGTTAGGCAGTTTTTGCGACAACAGGTTTAAGAAATATAATTAACTTTTGACAATCTGCATGATCTGTGAAGGTAATTTAATGAAAATTAAATAATAAAAAGGAAAATTAGAAAAACATCAAATTTGAGGACTTGAAGGGATAAATATTTTCGTTGTATCCGGAAGAATGATATTTTTGAGGCTGATAAAAAAAATTGAGTCTTGTGACGACTTATAAATACACATTTTATATATTTCAGATATTGAAAGGAATAAAAACAGGATTCCAAAGCAATTATTCACTCACGTTGCTCAAGTAACGGGAATATTTGACAACCTACTCAATATATTTTTTCTAAACATAGATGTTAAGAAAATTTCCTTATTCAATATTACTCTAAATGTTTATGTGACATTATTTTCATTTCAAACTTATATTACATAATAGACGATCCCCAGTCGAAAGACATCAATCCCATTATAATCAGTTATATATCTTTGTCTAATGAATTTTATAAAGTATAAGGAGCGCAATTTATATATTATCAAACTACAAAGGGTGATAAATGAGATCATAGTGATGATAGACCATAAAATTTACCACTATTTCGATATACGGATAGCCGTCGTATGTAAACAAAGCGAGGACGATGACGTATATAACGCTGACTATAAGACCAAGTAATATCGCCAAAATATTGTTCCTCATTGGTAGAAATATATAAATTGACAACAGTGCCATTGAATCGTATGCCGGCCTCAGAGAAATACCTTCATGATAACTATATATTGCCACTGATATATCTGCAACAATAAAACAGAGTTAAGGTTCTCTCCCTTTCGATATCGAACGCATGATATGGCGCGGCATTTTATCGAGTTAGTCCACGTATTGGTAAGTTACAAGATACGTGTTATAAATTCCGAGTCGTATATATTTCCTCTCACAAACACACCAAACACCATACAAATCGCCAGTTACTAATCTGAAGAAACAAATGAAGCATTTACACTTTTACTTCAAGTAGGTCATTTGCCACTCTACATTCCCAGTTGACTTGAACTACGTATACAGCAAGAGTTGCTGTTTGGGCTGTTATTGTACTATCCGAGAGTATTTGTATATAAAAAAGATTTTTGTGTAATTTTTTAACAGAACTGCAAATGAGGACACACTCACCCGATACAACCAGATCGGTAGTTATGACGAATGTAATAAATATAGGCATCCAGAAACATTTCTTTTTTAGTGGACTATAGAAGCATTTCCACAGTGAAAGAGCGGGAACTGCTATCCTCAAGACATACATACCCATCGATAGATATGTTGATCTCCATTGAATTTGCTGGGAAAAAGGCAATACATGTTAATCACACTAAAGAAATAAAATTTAAAGTGGCAATCTGACTAGCTATATCACGTAATGATTATTTCTTAACATTCTATATACACGGTAATACAACTATTCATAAGGTTATGATATAACATGTTCAACTATAAGAATTTCCCATTTTGATTTCTAACTTGCAGTCTCCAATTTGAGCTGTGCCAAAAGTCACCATTTCGTGTTTAATAATATAATAAGTTTGATGAAACTTAGGTTTTCATATCTATCTATTCAAATACTTTTTGTGTCATTTTCATTTATTCTTAGCATCCAAAATAAGAGAGAAAATATATTGAAGCTTACACTCACCTCATCATAAGTACTGGCTAAGACTACAACGATGTGTACAGTGGAGAAAAGTACAAGTAAAGTAACGTAAATATAAATAAACGTTTCCCGCAGCTTGTCATCGTATTTTCTATAAAGTCCTTCCAGATCTTTTTGATAAAATTGATCCTGCAAAAGGAAAAAATAACTGTTCCGAAACTATCGATATTTGTTTAAAAATGTATTGATGGTTTTAATTATTTAAAAGAGTTCGTCACTGCGTACATAGTGATAGGAATATAAATTTACCAGTTGAAGAAAACCTTGTGAACGTATGTGAAGTCTGCCGTTCTGGATTAAAATGTGATATTCTGGACTTAGCTAAGATCGCTAAGTTTTGTTGGCATCAACACCAACATATTTCTTAAAATAAAACTTTCACTTGAACAACAAAGTCAAAAAAGAACGAGCTCCAAAAATGAACTTGAAATTTGAATTCGAAACGATACCCTCAAATATTTCCAGTTCCATTGTTTGCCACCGGACTGTTCGACTTCCTGACTTCTGAATTCGTGTAACGAGGAAAGCATGCTCGTGGCCCTGTTAGAATTCATGGAATATCTGGCCAGCAGTTCCAAAGCGCCGACTTGAAGCACCACGGAGCCCGTGGTCCGCGACAGTGAACGATCATCCTGCTACACACCAATATATCATTTACTACGTAGGTCGTACGTCTGCGTAGAATAGGCTGAAGGCGTAACATTCAGACAGAAAGACAGATATACATAAAAATATGTATATAAATTATAGCCTATGTTTTATTCTGATGTATAAACTATATTATTTTAAAGTTTCATTAAAATCCATTCAGTAGTATTTGCGTGAAAGAGTCCATCCATACATACAAACTTTCGCCTTTATAATATTAGTAAGGATTGAGGTTTAAAATTAATATTAACGCTTGTGCATCGATTTGTCATTATTGAATTTATAATTTTTACAGCTTTCTTAAATTCGTTGTAAAGCAGATATCGCAAATGGACGTTTTCCGTCGCCAGTTCATAGAAAGCTCACTAATCGACGATCTTTAACAAAAAAATAAGAGTTATTTTGTTTTTGGCATTAGACTTAATAACTCCACTTAGAAAAGATTTCATGTTATTTTTGCATTTGGTTAATACAGATTTAAATAAACTTTAATTGTGATGTTGGCATTGATTCTTTAACAATTGAATAAAAATATAATACGATTGTTGGAAGTAAGTCGAACGTCGTCATACAATGCTTTGTATGAAGATTTTGATATTTATATTATGTTGTATAACACAATTATAATATTAATAAATAACATTTTTTTCAAACTGAAATTATATCCATTATTGAAATCATAGAATGAATATACGCTCTATAGGAAATATTGCCAAAACTCAACACGAGACCGTGAAACCACAGATTGCCCCAAACGCCCGGTTGCAGTGAAATAACGCGTTGAGAGCAATATTGCATTGGCCACGGCTCAGTGGCGCTTCAAACATGTTTGCACAGACTCGGTTAAATGCTTTCTGCGCTGTAATATTAAAATGTATGGCTCCTTTGACGTCTCAGTCTAGTAACAACATCAAATTTGCACGAAATATATAACACAACTATAACGTCTGTCACTAAATTATATAATAAATGAAACAAGAACATTTTTATTATTAAAAAAAAAAAAAAAAAACAAAACCGAAGTCTAATATCTACTGACGTTTTCTAATCATTTTCTATTCGATTTTGAGGAGTTCCCTGATGTCTCTTCTTATTATTGTGGTCGATATTGAAAGTAGGTATTATTTTGATACCGGACAACTAAAAGTAGTCCGGTATATATCTTTATATATAATTTTACTGTACGTATGTAGGTATATCACTGAATTCCTCCTTAATGGTTGGACCAATTTTAATGAATTTTTTTGTGTGCCTTCAGGTCGATTCGAGAATGGTTTAGATTCAGTAAATTTTTTTATTTTTTATTTCTACGTTGTCGAATTTAAGTCGTGTATAGGACAACGACTGTCCGGTCCGCTAGTATATATGTATGTCCATAAATGCTTTAATACAACTAAACGAGCGTGTAATGATTGACTTCTAAACTTCCCTTTTTTTAAACGGTTTTATTTAGCACGACCCGTATGGAATTTATTTGGGTCAAAATTAGAAATTGAAATTTAAGCTTTTGATATGAAATTTGGTACACACATTTAATTTAGATGACAATACAATATTGTAGTTTTCAGTGCACATAAAATAAAACCGTTTAACTTTAAAGTTTTTAAACGGTTTTATTTAAATCGACGATTTAAAATAACAAAACATTTAGCCTTTTTTATCCATAACATAATATTGGCACATAAAACATCAAACACTGTCGTTAATAAAGTATTTGTCAAACATAAATAATATGTTCTGGTATGTACACAGAATGCTTTGCTTCTGTATTTTCGTGGTCATGGTATTATTTAGTAAATTTTGACTAGTAATTTTTTTTTGGTGAAAGGTTAGCAAGTGTGCATGCGGTTCACATGATGTTAAATGATACCATGGACATATACAAGACCTGAGGGATTGCAGATGCTACTTTTTTATGGTTGGCACCTTTAAAAAGTGTGCCGGGTCATCTCACTCACAAGACAAATCGCGAACGAATAAAATAGTTGCACTTTACGCTCCTCATGAGACCATGGTACTCATGAGGCCATGAGTCTTCCCCGGGCGAGTGTGCTCAATCTTGCATTAGCAGCTGCTGCTGCGTGGCCCCGGGTGATCAGTAAACGGTTGGCAGAACCAGAATAAACTAGTCTAGTCTCTTCCGTTTTTTTAAGACTCTGTCAACTGTTCGCAAACTTTGAAATATTCGGAAAGAGGAGGATGCATTTGAAAGCTAATTGATATCTGTCATTCATCACTTGACAGTAACACTCTACGTATTTATCATAAGGTCATAGCGGAAAAATGCCGAATAGATCTGATATACGACAAAGTAGTATCACAGATTTCATAGAAATTTAATGTTAGCCCAGTAGTCGAATCAGATACGATAAGGATTGTTATATGTGTAAGTGACTAATTGATTAGCTTATAGCAATGGCAATAAAGCATCTATGTCCATGAGTGCCCATAATAATGCTAGCATAATAACAACTAAACATAATGATGATGACGTATTTGTACGTTAGACGATTGTTCTGAGTTATAGTTACATACAAATATTTTGTAATGTTACACATGAACAGTTTAACAGAGACAACAGGAGATACATACAAATATAGCGAAAGCTTTGAATTAAGGCATAAGGTCGGCAAAAATGTTTCTAGATTGCTTTTCTAAAAAAGGAAAAAATACACTATCTTGGCGATAATCGTTTTTGCAACAAGGTGCATATATCACCCAACTCTTCCAACAATTGTTGCGCTCAAGTGTAGCGCCGATAAAAAGAACGTAATATTTGTTATTAAAATACTTCAGAAGTAAGCATAAACGGGTTGTATCGTACATTCTGATTATATTAATGACAGATCAGAAGTAGTTCAGTGAGTCCATTCGCATCTGTGAATAAAAGGACCAGGATTTTTATTTTTTTTAAAGAATTATCTACTATTTGCACCGACAGATAAAAAACTAAATAGATAAATTAAGATTTAATTTAATAATTTAATAGACTTCTTTATTATTTATTTTATTTAATATTTATTTATTAATTTAAGCATACTATAATGGTTATTCAAGTCATAAACTAGATTTACAGTAATGCATTTTTACAGAAACACGTATTAAGATAATAAGATTCATTATTTAATATTAAAAAGTTTAAAGAGTGGATGATGAATACGAAAAACTAACCTATTATTTACACTTTTAGCTTTAAGTACTCACCATGGCTTCAGTTATGTTTATGCATAACTGTTACAGTTGTTTAAGATTTTAACTCGGGACCCACAAAACACAATTCAACTGTACGAATTCGACAATCACCAATGACTGAAGGTAAACCTTAGTTCTTTCCCTGTGATTAGTATTGATAAGCGCCACTCACAGAACGCTGATATTTCAGCAGATTATGACACTGATAATCGAATTAATGTGCTTCAATCAAACGTTTTGATGAATTAGAAATATTAATTATTTATCGAATTAATTACTTCGAATTCAACTTTTAGTTTAGAAGCTATTATTCAATGCGTGATATCCATGCCTTCTAGAGATTTAATAACAGTTATACGAATGTTTAACTAAAATAAGTAAAGTAATATAATGATATTATTTGAGGTTAAGAATTACATCGATTGTATACAACGATATATTTTACGTCTACTCACGCAATGACTTCTAAAAAACAACTCCTAGTATTTATTAGAATTTAGTACTGTGAAATAGAATTATTGATAGTCAGTAATATAATTATTATACTACTGACTATCAATATTATACAATTGTTATTCTTTTGTGACACCTTAATTTAAATATCTTGGTTTAACGGATGCAACACGGGACCATGTAAAAAAGTTTTTAATAATATTCGAATATAGCACAAAAGTTATTGGGTACACCCAGCGTCTAACATATTATAGTCCTTTTATGTCGCATACAAATACTAATATTTAGCAGATGGTATATACATCTGCTAAATATTAGTATTTGTACATTAATAATACATGAAAAAATATTTTCTTTAAAATTTTCTGCACCTACCCGTGACATTATTAATTCAAATATTTAAAAACTGTTAAACACTTTTGTTTCTTAAGGTACACCGTTTACGTACCTACTGTGTGAACTCCTCATACTAAAAAATTATAGATCAGCTTCTAATTGGTTTTCGAATTCATTTAGGTAGAGATACCTACACGATGTCTAAATTAGACATAATTGACTACTTGACCGAGTTCATTGCACATTAAAAAATATGACCTTCTGTAAAGGACCGAAAAACTTTAGATAATTTACGTAAAAACAGATGATGTCATTGATATATTATTAATAGTATTATGTATCAGTAATAAATATTTTTGATCAATTGTGTCCATTCTATGTAAGTGAATGTTTTAACATTTGTAAATTGGTTACTAAAAAAACTTAAAACTTTACTTACTTTTTACTTTGTATTCTTATTAGATGAAGGAATTGTTGTTAAGAATGCCATCTAGTCAAAAGTTATCAAATAGAAAAACATACATAGTAAATACGTTTGGTCAATAGATGGCGGTTTTATAAGGTATTTATAATTGTCAGGTGTTGAATGATTAATTTCAAAACTTCATTTTATTGATTGTAAAAACCATTTATTAACAAAGACAGAAGCGGTTCTTTTGATGCTAATTAAAAGCTGCCGCCAATAATCAACTACAACACATATGAGGTTGAAGTTTTGCCACTAAGCTTTTCGAAAATGGGCCCTTATTAAATTATTACTCACCAGACGAGAGCCAAACAGTAAGTACGATAATATTTTACGTTGATCTTCTTTGAGGCCCTACTTTCGAGGACGAGCGTAACTATTTGTGTAAACGGCAAGTCATTATCATCATTTCAACTTGTTTGAGTCCACTATTGAACATAGGCTTTCCTCACAGATCGCCAGGAAGCAGAATCTAGAGACACCTGCATTCATCCACTACCAGCATACTTGCACAGTTCGTCACTCCGTCTAGTCTAGTCAGTAATAACTGGCTGTCACTCGAGAACGTATCTTCCCCATCGGTTATCGGTTCTTCGAGCTATATGGCCGGCCTATTACCACTTAAGCTTATCCGAGCTATGTCGGTTACTGACAACGATTAGATAACCATTATACTCGTATCATCCGTGTTAGCTTTCTACGATTACTTTTTTGCGATAGTAAATTTAGAAACATTTTGTGGTTTTTAGTTGATGCAAAAACAAATAATGTCACTTCGTAATAATGTCAGTAAATGAAATGAACTTATTTTTTGTGATATGGTTTTAAGAAACTTAGACGCATATTAAAATGATAATTTTGAAGTTTAAAACTTCTTGATATCATGCAGCAAATACACTGTTCATCTATTCTCAAAAGTTATAAGAAGTAATAGAGTATAAAATAATTTTCAAATAACACTCATAAAATAATATGTACAAAATAATTATTCTATTAAAGTTCTAATTTCGTTTGCAAGAAATGCTGCGGTGTAATTTTTCTTTGATAAGACTACTGGCTTTAAATCAATCTAACTTTGTGATAGTTTCGTGCCGTCTGGTTTTCTTTTTTTGCGTACATTTCACAAAAGAGAAATTGAAGCGAATTTGTAAAAGGGATCGAAGACGCTACGAGTGTCCAATTGTTTTTAGAGAAGAAGGAAACTGGAAGTTTCTTTTGAACAGATTTTTAAACCTTGTTTGTTTTGATTCAAATTAACAGTATGAACTTTCGGAGTTATGTCAGAATTGTTTGATCGGGAATATTCCTTTCGATTTCAAAAGAGTAATTGATAAATTTGTTGCTAAACAATCGTTATCATCGTTAGAGTGAAATAAAATGTATCTACTTAATAATCGTTAGTGTATCCCGTTGTAGTATCACGTTTGGAGAGAAATTCTCGAAGACATTCCAAAACAATACACCGTCGCCGAAGTACCAACTCAATAATCCCCTCAGTTACGGGGTGTTAAACTTTCATGCCTTAGCTTCCACCCTTTAAGTGTTATACTTCTACGTTTCGCAGGGTAAGTGAGTTAGCCGGGGCCCACTTCATTAAAAAGTGGCAACGTATCTGCAACCCTAATGGTGTTGCAAATGTGAATCGGTGGCTGTTATCACATAACATCAGGTCAACCAGCTCGTTTAACACCCTTCTCTCTTAATGTTGACTCTATCGTGATGTTGCTTACGTAACAACTCATAATCAGCATTTGCTTCTCAATTGTTAAACAATTTGTTTCTGTTCCAAAATGTAATAACATACTAAATCGTTCCAAGAAATACGACATGCATATAAAGCAAATTAAAGGCACTCTTAACTGTCAGTATATACATGTATGTGCCCCACAGTTGTACAAAGTCCTCCTTGTACTCCTAGTCCCTTGACTGTATTAGGGCAATGTCTGTGACCTCGGTTGGTTGACGTTACTAGATATTTTTTTTGTATTATTTAGATTATATTCAGATCCGCTCTATGTTTTTATTCACCAAAGCGCGAGATAATACAAAATTGCAATCAACAATTTCATTAGGGCTAGTACGGCGTTTTGAACTTAAGCTACTCGAATATAATGAATTAAATACGAGCTCCCGCTAACCGAATCGCAGTGGCTCAAATCCTATAACCATTGTAAACAGTCAGTCTGACTTATTGAGTGATTTGAAGTAGGCATAGAGGGTTGTTAGATTTGTTTAAAAACTGTTAAGCAAGGAAAGCAAGTCATTTATAAATTGTGTTGGGAGGACACTTGTTATCTGGATGTATCGCATAAGAAAAACCGTTAAAAAATAAAGAAACCCTTAAATTAGAATATTTTAAAATTTACTACAGGATCGTGTTACAGATAATCGCTCGAAAATCTTAGGTATAAAGCTAATTAGTAAAGTTGGTGATTTACTAAGCGCTCTTAAATATTTTATTGATTTTAAAAATGTTAATGCACCTGATCTTAAGTAGGGATTACTCTAAAATTCAACAGAAGCTTCCAAAGTTACAAATACTTGAGATGGGGTACTGTATTTGAACTTTATTTTAAATACGTTAAGGATCATAATAAAATGTCTTAGACATGGTTCGAACACTGAACTCATAATTGTGACAGCGCACCTGGAACAACAAAGATGTCTACCACTTCTAGTTAATCTTCTCTGAGCTGATATCTATTGTTAAATTTTGCGAAGGTAATTTCAAGTACTTTATCGAAATTATTATTTTAGACGCGTAAAGTGTACTAATTTAATTATTATGCGTACAATATTCAAAAATATTTTCCTTTTTTTATTAATTATGTATTAGAGGATTGTTTTCACGACCCTGTTAACGCTGGCTGTCTTAGCAGCAACTGCTTATGGAGCAATATCCATCTCTTCTAGTTAAGGTACGCTGGAGCTCTCAGCGGTGGACCTCTGACCTCAGTTTCGGCCGAGTAAGAAAAACGGTGTACCGCAATACCAACACTTCTCTCACCCTGCGGCGTGTCAACTACTTTATTAGCAGTGGAGTCTCTAAGTCAAGAAGGATAAAAAGATCCCTTCCCCCATGCAACCTTGGTTGCAGGACATGAAGAATGGTTCTTCCTCTCCGTCAACCTGTAATCCACATTCTCTAAGTACACATACAGAGTGGGCTTAATGAGCCTATTCGAAACGGCCCTCTCCGTCCAACTTGCGGTGTAAGGCGTCTACAACACCTGAGGCGTTGCAAACGTGTTGTCAACCTTAAAAAAGTGGGCTCCGATTAACTCACTCACCAGAAGAATCGCGATCCCTTTTAACTGATCTTACGTTTGGTCGTGGCACTTCTGTGATTCAGTTTTTTATTTACCAACGCGGGGGCAAGGACGGGTTCTGTCGGACTCGCACCGCCTAAAACTTTCCACAATATTCCACCTAGGCGCTTGTCGGGGACACGGGAACGCTTTCCCACACTTCTGTGATCCTATCAGCACTGGCCACCTTAGCAGCCCCTTTTCGGGGAGCAACTCCCCTTCCTCCAGGTGAGCCACGAACGGCACATTCAGCGCGCCTTTCTACTCGGCTTTTTCATGGCCCCAGTTCTCCCACGAGTTCGCTAACCAGAGACCATGTGAGCTGGGAGAGTCAGTGCTAATGCAAATTTGTATAAATTTTCTTTATTTATGTGTTTATAATTTAGGGAGTTCGCTACCATCTGAATTTTGCGGATGTCTAGGAAGAGTAAAGTGAACGGCGTGCTTCCATG